TTAAATAAATAAATCCATTCCATGTAAAAGCTTTTAGATAAAGTAGCTTGATGTTACCAGTCCATCTTCTTCTAGATCAGTCCTGGAAGCTGATATTCCGAGGGTGTTGAGTCCTGGAAACTCTGCTGCAGTGATTGTGTTCATGGATGAATGATAAAAGTTATCCGTGTCACCACCGTGGTTCAGCAATGAGGATTTGAAATCAGATGCTGTTATGTTAGCAGGATTCTTGCACAGAAAGCCATTAATAAAGATTTTTTGATTTTTTGTATCTGTTGGACATATATCTTGAAGATTATCCGCATCCCCTGCACAGCAGAGTTTGGTGCAAATACAAAAACATATCAAAAAAGTATCGCCAAAAGTCAGTCTGGAATTTTTCATTTCTTCTCTTTGGGGAGGGGTGGGGTTGGTATGGTGGAGTAATGAGTTTATTTAGGTTCTGTGTTTTTACATATGAAGCATATATAGCAGGGATTTTAGGGTAGGGAAAAGTGGAAATAAAATATTCTGAAGCTTGGAGTTCACTTCACTACTGACTAAGAAAGTTGCTTATGTTTCAAAAAGCACAATTGCTTGAAAGAAAATTGATTATTACTTATCTGGAAGGTTGGCTGTCCTTCTGTAACTGTGAGATACCAAGTTGACCAATATTCTCCTGGTTTTGCTTTTAATCGAAATAAGATAAAAGGGGTATTGTCCATCTTTTTCTTCCTGGATTTTCAGATGAAAACAATAATACTAATAACACCTGCTAATGTCCATTAAACATACAAATATTATTAGAAACAGAGGAAAAACAGCAGCATGAAGTTTGAATGTCATTGGGAACAATTCACAAGTTAGAAAAAGTTATAGAATCTCTGTTCCATTAGGATCCTATAAACAAATACCAAACTGCAACTAACTGATGAGTATCCATTTTTCTTGGTGTACCGTTCTCAGATATCTCGGAAATGAACTTATTAACAAGCAGAAACCAACCCAAGAAGTTGTGGTCAATAACACCCTTGCCTCCGACAACGTGTGCAAAATCAATGAGCGCTCTTTCCATTTGATACAAGCTCTTTTTCGTATGCCAAAGAACAGAACAAGAATAAAAACGATAAGTAGTTTGATCCTCAAACCATGCTTTTAATTCCAATAATTGTGCTAAAATACCAGTTGAACCACCATAAACAAACGAAGCAAAAGCACAATCTGGTTTCGAATCCAATTCTGCAGACACGTTGGTAGAAAAATTTGCAACCCTGATAACCTGAATCCTAACGGAAGGCTAGAAGTCTCTCTTTCTTCAAATACCTACCTATGTAATCCTCTGTTGATTGACTAGGCTAAGTTCTTGAACCAATTTTAATGTCCATTGCTGATGAATTGACTCGACCTAAATTAAGATCTTGCAAAACTAGATGAGGTTGCAAGCCAGATACATCGAAGGCCAAGCTGAGTGCCACAAAATTCGGGAAGAATCTGCAGATGTCGCCTGGGATTCTGATTTCTGAAGAAAATGATGCATAGAAAGAAACCTCGTTGGATCCATCCTCATCACCCCGAAGAGGCTTGTACAAATGTCCGGAATCATCTATAAGGGGACCAAGCTTCCCATTACCAGCTTTATGTCCTGCAACCTGGTGATCCTGGACCTTGAGCATCTCTATGTACAATGAACACTCTCTAAAGAAAAGGAGTAGGCGCTATTCTTATCAATTGAACTCTTCAATGGCACATGGCGTCCTTCAAAATTTGAAGAACAAATTAGTATTACATCTCGAACAAGTAACCTTAAAGTGCATCAAATAATGGCAACATGAAATGGAAAAGAACAAAGCAATAATATCATTACATAAAAAATTCTGGAAAATCTCAAAAATACTGGGCCTGAGGAATTAATAACAAAGCCAATGAGTCACCACAAAAATTATAATAAATCATTTGTCTTGTCCATAAACATCATAAAGAGCTTCCATTTACTCCAACAATCCTCTAAGCATGTGAAGATACTGGTAATGAGTGTGTTGACCACAATTCAGCAGCCTTTTAGATCAAACATTAACTCAAAATAAAATGCCGCAGCTTAGGATATTCAAAAACAACTTTTCATATTTTCAGACAGTTAGGCTATGTTTGATAGCCATGATTTTGCCTAGAACTAGGAAAATAATTTTCATTTTCTCCATTTTGACTTGTCTGATAGCCAATAATTTCCCTAGAAAATGTTTTCTCACCCCATTACTCACGCGCCCAAATTCCTTCAAATTCATGTTTTGGCAATTTTTTTTTTTT